TAAACATCACCATGACTATCAAAAATATATTTCTAAGGTACTAAAATACCTAATATCAAGTTCCCACTTCTAACACAAGTCTCAACTCAACCCGAACCTTATTCTTCACTGAAACAACACATGCGAGTAAAGTAGGGGCGAGCAACCACAGCTAAGTAGGACACTTAAAATCTACCTCGGTTTCAATATTTAAATAAATAAATAAACATGCATTCAAAAAAATAAAGCGAACATACTGGAACATCATGTATAATGTCTAACACAATGTCAGTAAACGAAATTATAACTGTAGTTGGCATATGCTGAGTAACAACAAAAAATAATATTATATTATAAGTGTAAAAAGCATGAAAATCAAAATTCATTTATTTCTTTGAATTAATTTAATATTTTTCCTCCGCCCTTTATACCTACATTTGTTCATATTTTCTCTATGCCTCTTATAACTCCACTTCCGGTTACACCTTCACTTGTTCACAATTATTCAGGCATATCAAACACACATATGGATAATTTGTTAGGTAAAAAAACCTTATGACTCTATTTGATTGCACATAACATGCATACACCCACCATAACCACATGCACTTCCCCTTTTTATTATCATTTGACATATATTTTTGATACAGAAGCATATAAATACTACAAATTTTGATATATTGAATATCACAACATGCTGTAGGAAGTGTTACAAACTAGTAGACACAATTAATAATATAACTGACGGGAAGTAAATTTGCATATATCGACAATCGTAATTTGTAAAACTATTTATATGAAACATCCAACATATTATTTCAAGCATTTCTTATTCTACAATAAATTGTATTAGGTTTAACATACATGCCAACATATGCAAAATATTATATAACACAAAAGAACCAATAAAAATAAATTATTTTTCGTTCAATTTGTTCAGCACAATCTAATATACAACATATAAAATACTGCGCATTGAAAAGTAAGGAAATCTCCATAAATTTGTATTTGTATGAAATTTTGACAAATAAAATATCAAAATTTTACTAAAAAAACGAAGTTGTAATCTAAAGTACGTTAACAGTAGCATACCAAGATCCAAACAATTTCCCCAACTAGCACGACGAACAAAATTGGCTCTACATTTCTCAAATCGAACTTTCTCTCTCTAAGCTTCCTACACTTCTCTCTCTAAAATTTCTCTGTTAGAGAATGGAAAAATGAAAAAAAACTTAGAAAAGGGATCTAGATAATGCAATAGATATTTATAATAAAATTTTCTAATTTTTTTTTATAAAGGACATAAAAGTAATTTATTGATTGTTGAATTTGTTAAATACATATTTTATAGAAGCATCTTATATCATGAATATATGACTTCAAAAATTATGAAAAAATAATTAATAAGTAGAAAATATGTCTCGGGTACACTGGTAAAAACAGTGTTCAAAACAGACACTAGATAGCTTCAGAAACCCTACATATATAAAGATGTATCAAATCTTTAAGGAAGACAAATCTAACAAGAAACATTTTAATTTTTTATTTATGAAGCTATTAAAAATAGATAAAATATGCTCAAAATATAATAAAAAATGCTCTACAATTTGGTAAATACATTTTAAAAATCAAGCATGAAGCAAAATTAATAAAGAACGACGAATAAATTGAGCATCAAATTAACTCCAAAAACTTCAAGAAAATCAACAACATAAAATAAATATGTAGACTTACCAGATCTCAAAAACAGGTCTAAAAAATACACTAATATATTACATTAGCAATTGTTAAACTCACCCTCTCCCCGATGACCTAGTTTTATTTAATCGAAAGAAACTCCATCGTCAAGAATTGAGAGCTGACGACTGCATTGATACATCCAATTGATATTTTTGAACCAAACAAATTAATCTTGTTGACTATCTTCAGAAATTCAACCGATCGGAGCTGCCTAAAGGATCAATCGGCTGATGATCCCTATCTAGTCGGTTGACCGAAAATACTGATCGGTTCACTTCGTCAGTCCTGCCGACCGAGCTGAAGAGTAGCGAGGCCTTGACCCACAAAAGATTAATTCTAATAATTATTTGTAAAACCCTATTTAAATAGGGGCAAAATGTAACTTCGATTCTATTACCCCCTTGTCTATAAATAGATGAGCATTTCATGAATAAAATGCTACACAATTCTCTCAATTTAGTGTTCTTCAGTGTAATCCTCTTTCACTCGCACTCCCTTTCTCTCTTCCTCATGACCGATGATCTATTTCTTGGGTGTGATTTATAAGACAATATAAGATTGAACACAGACACACACAGACAGATATATATATATATATATATAAGTTTTAGAGAAATATGAATCAAACTGATTTGATAATGAAGTTAACCTCACCAATAAATAAAAACACAACAGATACACCATCAAAAAAAATTCATCATCTGACATGGATCTAGATGCGTGGTATGAATCTCTAAGCAATTTTTTTGAGAAAAGAATATGCAAGCTTTAATTATAAATCATTAGGAACTCTAATTTCAACAAACTTATAGTGAAACTGATCGGTTCGATAAGATAAACATAATGACACCAACATTAACTAATACCGAGTCAACTCTAGCATAGATCAACCCGTAAAATCATTTTTAGATACTTGTGGTGCTCAATTAGAAGACAACCTAATTCTAAATGTGAGAAGTTTATGGTCAAATCGAGCTTCTTGACAAGATAAATCCAACGAGCCCAAGTTCACTTAATTTTAATCTTATTTATGCACTTGAATTCTCACAAAAATACTATCTAATCAAGGGAACTCTCCGGGCTGTCCGATGAAGTGGTCAGTTTTCTTTCTTATTTGCATGTAGGCCTCTCTCATATTTTGTAAGTACAACCTTACCCCTTTCTTAAGAGAGGACCTGAAACGATATCTAAGCCTAAAGCACCGAAAGAAGGAGTTGAAGCTCACTCTTTTTGTACCAAAGATCCGACAAATGCTTCATGCTACTGCAGCCGCATAACACAGTCAATAACCTCTTGCCAGACACTGTTAGCCACCATCGACTGTCACCTGCTCCTTGCAATGAAGCTCTTTATTGAATCACGATATGCGATGTAGAATTTCGATGTAAGTTACAAAGTAACGAATCACAAGACCATGTAACAACACACCCAGGTACAATGTAACTCCCTACCATAGCCTATATGACCAACTACGATCTATGTGCAAGCTGCTCTCGACTCCGACAACTATGGCCTGCGGACATCATTGCAACTCACTACTATGATCTATGTCGTCCACAGCCTGTACAAATCTCAACTCCCGCCTCTATGACTTATGGATGTTATCACAGTTGTGCAAATCTTAATTTCAGCCTCTGCGGCCTACGGACGTTGGCACAACTCATGTACTGCCTCTACTACAAGCAAACATTATCACAACCAATGCAATTCTCAACTCTAGTCTGTGTGGCCTACGAATGATTTGACAATTAGTGTAACTCTCAACTTTGGCCTCTGCAACTAATATACATTATCACAGCTTATACATCTCTCAAATCTGGTTCATGTGCCTACAAAGATGTTATCGAAGCTAGTGCAACTCTCAACTTCAGCCTCTGCGGCCTATGAACACTATTACAACTCGTGTTGCTCTCCATTTTGGCCTATATGACCACCAAATGTTATCAAAGCTCCTGCAGTTCTCAACAACACCCTCTGACACTTATGAACATTATCACAGATCCGTGTTATGACATATATGATTAAATACAACTTATGGGACCCATAACTCGTCCAACTCCAAACATCGTCTTCAATAGCTGACAAATGTGATCATAACTCACCACTACGATCTATGTGACGAATTATATCATATGTGACTCACACATAACTTCTTGATACAATCTCATGGCCAATCGACGTTCTTGAAGCAATCTTCTACGACCAACATGACCAACTACTACCACGACTTGCAACTATGACCTCCATGACAAGTTATTGCTATAACCATCATCTATAACATTCATGGCAGGATACTGCCTTCATGACCATCGACCACAACATTTGCAGCCCGTTATAGCGATTATTGATAAGTTGTCATTGCATATTAACTTTGTGATTCTATCTTCTATAATTCAGAAGAAGAGTGGACTCATGTACTCAAAATTACCTAGTAGACTATTTTAACTAGACTAGACCCCATGATTTTTTACTTTTTCTAAGATTTTTCTTGTAAAAGTCAAGGGATCTCTTTTTGCTTATTATTATGCCTTTTATCTTTGTGCGTCGAACCTTCGTACAATATTAAGATGCTAAATTATTACACTACCGCCACAGTCCTTCCGACATGCATCAAAAATCATAAACTAATTTTTAGCATTTCTCTTTTAACTTCTCGTCGACATTACCACATCAGAGAAAATTTTTATAAGCTTAAAGAGATTATTGCTAAACCCTAAAATTTAATACAACCTCTTTTATTATTTTGTTTTAACTGAATAAAGCTTAAGAGTAATTAATTTATATGAAAGCAAGAAATTCATAACTCTTTTATTTATAATCTTATTTAAGTAATATCAGGTAATTAGATACTAAGCTTAATATTATTGAATTATTTATTAATTTAAATTAGTAAAAAATATTTATTAATATAAAAAATTGACAAAGCATTTAAAATTTTAACTTATCTATTAATCTATATAAGTACTTATTTGACTATTTTAGGCAAATCAATTGCATTAAAAATTTGATTATAATATGCATGATTCAAACATATGATTTTAATAAATTACATTCTCAACAATTATGCAGCATATAACTGCATATAAATGAGCTTAAATTTGATCTAAACATAAGCAGACCAAATTTAATGCGATTAATGTTACATACACACCGATGACAACTTTAAAAGTGTTTATAAATTAAAAAAATTCCTCCATACTTTTCTCCCCACCAGTTCCAGTTCCAGTTCCAGTTCCGATGGCTACACCTCACTAACCCTTTTAGGGTTTCTTTTTCATTGAGCGCAGAAGTTTGGTGGAGCGATTTTTTTTGTGTAGCACACCAACCGAACAATTTCACACCTTAATCTAGTTTTTTATTTTTTAAAAATGAAAAAAAATTAAAATCCATGCCATTTTTATGCCTATAAATATGCCTTTTCACAAGATGTGCTTCCACTGCAAATCGACATTTTCGGTGTCTTTACTCGGGAAAAGTCTCTCGGTATTCTCTACCCCATCCACCAACCCTCATCGCCGCTGTTAAAATGACCGCCGGCAACGAGTTATCCATCACCACGGACCGCCGGAAAAGGGTTTGTGTCACCGGGGCCAATGGCTTCATCGGATCGTGGATCGTGAAGCTTCTCCTCGAGCGCGGATACACCGTGCACGGAACAGTTCGGAGTCTAGGTACTGTCCTAATCCACTTACCTTTTTCCTCGATTTTGATTTTTGTCAACTCGGATTTTATTGATCGAATGAGTTTTGATTCATTTGGAGCAGATGAGGCGAAGTGCAAGCATCTGAAGGCGTTGGAAGGGGCATCGGAGCGGCTGGTGCTCTACAAAGCTGATCTGCTCGATCTGAATGCGCTTCGTGAGGCGATTAAGGGATGCGAGGGCGTTTTCCACCCTGCTTCACCTGTGACCGATGATCCTGTAGGGCATTGCTTTGTTGTGATCTGTTGAATTTATTGAGTGTCGTTACGTTTGGGTGAGAATGCCTCTGATCTGTGTTTGGGTGTAGGAGCTGATGGTGCAGCCAGCGGTTGAAGGGACGAGGAATGTGATCACGGCCGCGGCAGAAGCTGGAGTGAGGCGAGTGGTGTTCACCTCGTCAGTTGGGGCGATGACGATGGATCCTAAGCGCAGTGAGGATGTAGTCGTAGATGAGTCGTGCTGGAGCGACCTGGACTTCTGCAAGCAAACTAAGGTATTGATTATTCCTCTTTTATTTCCTTAAGTTGCAGAGCTAGAATTTCACGGAGAAACCCTATATTGAATTGTTTGTGTAGTTCTTATTTTCGTTAGTTTCATCTTAGAAGTGTCAGAGTTTTTCCATTTCGAAGTGGAAGGGTTGAGAAATAGTGATTTAAGTCACGAAAGAGAGAGAATGAGATGAGCCTCTTAAATCATTATATATATTTCTTGCAGTTTTTGATGAGTAAAAATTAACTAACTTGGAATTAATACTGATCATCGATTATATGTTGGATTAAGGCCGATAATTTTATTATCAATTTGAAAGTTGCTCGTATTCTATTGAAGCTTGTATGACTTGAAATTACTATTAAGTTGTTTTTGGCTTGAGATTATCTCGCTCGAAGCAACTCTAAAAATATAAATTTAGGGAGTGACCATCAATTTCATCATTATATACATTGATTTAATGGTGGGAATTCATCATCGTCATTAGCTGTAATTCAATTAGCTGGGGCGTTATATGTTCAAAAAGTAACTAAATCCCACCTATTTTACATCTTTTTTTTTAAAAAAAAAAAGCGAATTTAATTCACAATCCACAAACATGCACATACATCACATAGAGGCATGCCTGAACCAATGGGCTAAACAGCTTTCATTCTCCACAATTTGCAGAACTGGTACTGCTATGGCAAAGCGGTGGTGGAGCAAGCTGCGTGGGAACTAGCCGGGGAGCTTGGGGTGGATCTGGTGGTGGTGAGCCCTGTCCTGGTTCTGGGCCCCCTGCTTCAGGAGGCAGTGAACGCAAGTGCGGTGCATGTGCTTAAGTACCTGAACGGCTCCGCGAAGACTTACGCCAACGCCGTTCAGGCCTACGTTCACGTCCGTGACGTCGCCGACGCCCACATCCTCGTCTTTGAGGCCCCCGCCGCCTCCGGCCGCTACCTCTGTGCTGAGTCCGTCCTCCATCGCGAGGACCTTGTCCGCATCCTCGCCAAGCTCTTCCCGCAATACGCTGTCCCCACAAGGTAAGCCATCCACCCTCTATTCTCCGGGAGATTATTGCGTGCGGACACCGCATGCATCTCTGCATGCGGTGTCCGATCCTGGCCGTAGATCACGATGATCTACGGTCAGGATTATTTCCGTTTTTTTAAAAAAAAATAAAAAATTTTAGGTGGGGCCCACCGAAATACATCAGGACCGTAAATCATGTGATTTACGGAGCGGCGTCCGCCCGCAGGACGCGGATCCGCATGGAATAATTTTTCCTATTCTCCATGCGCGGTTTTCAATTATAGATTTCTTTATTGACATATAATGACCATTCTCAAATAAAATAAAGTTTTATTTTTCATCAGTAGTTATTAAAAAACATGTTAGGAGTAGAGACTGGTTAAAATATGTGGTTTTCAATTATATTTTCGTTCAGTATGTTTCTATTATAATCTAAGAATTAAAAGTGAATGACCCACGATTTCAAACTCTTCACTCTGTTTCGCGTGCATTACATGTTTCATATGTCATACCATTTTATATTGGCATCTTCCAAAACTTGCGTAGTCGTTGGGTGTTGAAAGTCATCCGCCAGTAACGCGGATGCGCGTGGAATGGTGGTTAGTGGAGATTTCACTTCTAAAAAAATTATATAAACATTTAATTTGAGATTTTGATTCATGGAACCAAATCTTCTCTCCCATAACATGGCGAAAGTTGTGTTTTTCTTGGATCACTTTTGACTAATAAGAAGTAGGTCGCCAGCAATTTTTAGTCGTGTCTACTAATAAAACTCTTAGACACTCTTTAAGAACAAATATAAAACAATTATTTTAAATAACCATTTGAGGAGATGGATTAGTATGGTAATATTTCCTTCAATTTATTCGAACTAAATGAGGTTATTTAATTTTGCTTTTTTTTTTTTGGAGTGTATCATTACTCTTTTCTTTCCTGTTTTCGTGCTAAATTAATTTTGTTATCTATATTTATTTTTTAATTTTAATAATGATTTAACATGTTATTTATGTGATTTTTTTTTAGTTTTTTTATCTCAAATTATTTATAAACGTCATAAATATATTGTATTAAATTGGTGCTACTCTCAAATTACAATCTATATTTTTCTAGTTTTTTTAGGGGTCGATTTTATCCAAGTCTCAGTTCTTGGTTGGTGGAATTATATTTAATTCATTAAAAGCTAGTGGATATAGTAATTGATTGGCATATATTAAAGAAGCAAGCTTCTAAATAGTAATTGATTGGCATATATTAAAGAAGCAAGCTTCTAAATTCACATAATAAAAGCTTCGCACGCACAGAATGGCAAGCGGGACCACTCACAGATGAAAACCTACTAAGAAATTAATGAATGAAAAACGTTGTTCTGCGGTTGTGGTGGTTGAATGGCGGTTGGGTGCACCGAAGTTCAAAGTTTATAGATTTAAAAAAAAAAAAAACGTTGAATTGCAAAATAATTATTAATTGTTAATTATTTATTCGGTATGTAGCAATCTAACTACGATGATGCAATATTAATATTTATATTTTTTGAGATTGGATCATCAATCTTAAACTTTAATCTTTCATATCACATAAAATATCACAGTAAAAAAATAAAATATTTCTTTTCCTTCCTAAGATGACATGCCTGTAAAAATTACAGTTTATGTTTAGATATATAAATACAAAAAAATATAGAGGTTGTATGTAAATCTTTTTAATTTAATGAATAAATTTTGACAGTAACTGAATAGAAGCTGTACGATCAAGACTCTTCAGCTGCACTTCCACCATTGGCTATGCAAAATAGAGACGCAAGGGTGGTGGTCCATATCGAGGGTGATAGCCATAGTGACGTGTAGTTTTATCATTGGGCAAGGATAATAAAAAAAGTATCTTGATTATTTAAGTTAATTAACATAATATCAACGCCTAGTCATGTTACGACATCATTCTTTGATATTAATTTTAATTAACGGTGTAAGGTGTAAAGTGCAAAGTAGAAATTAGGATTATATACAAAAGTTAGTGATCGGAAATAAACATAAAAAAGGTTTAGTAGTCAATAAGCCTGAAGCCTAAATACAAATGATTTAGATGTAAATTACTCTTAATTGTACATCATTTTTCGGCTCGTACAACCGCAGCCAAGGACTGTTATTGACTAAATTGGAGTCAAAACTTGTTTTTTTTTTCTCTCCACCTACCCCATCAACTTTAATATGTATGATAATTGCAATTATTGCCAACTAATTCAATTGTGACTTTAAAATTTTAATTAATATTCAATATATTAATATTCAATATGTTCAATATGACCGACCTCTGGCGTATGCGGACTTTTGTTTTAATGTTTTATATATTTCATTTTCTTTTTTTTGATTTATGAAATCAACTATGTTTCTTATAAGTATTGTCTCTTTTAATTTGCCTCTCTTTAAGAATTTAATAATCGTTTCACTTGAGCAAACACAAAATTGTTCATATTCGTGCCCAAACTTTTCACAAATACAAATTAAGACAACATGATTCGAATGTTTTTTCTTTAGTAGATTCAGTGAATCTTTATAATAAGTCGGATATATACATGTGGCTTGATATTGAATTTCCATCCTTACAAAAATATCAGAAATCTCTATCATTTGGCTTTAATATTGGTGCAGGTGCTCTGATGAGATAAACCCAAGGAAGAAGACATTCAAGTTCTCCAACCAGAAGCTGAAGGACCTGGGCCTCGAGTTCATCCCAGCGGCTCAAGGCATCTACGAAACTGTGAAGAGCCTGCAAGAGAAAGGCCAACTCCCCTAGAACTCCAATTTGGCTGCTTGTGAGGTTATCGCCTTTTTAGTTCCTCTCAAATGCCTTCTTATAATATATTATCATGTAATGAACTTGAGCAAAGATATGTTTCTTTACCAGCATAATTAAACACTTCTTATAGACATATAAGAATGTGATTTTATAAATATATATATGTATGCTGTGATGAATATTTCGGTGGAAGAAACATTTCTCTTTAGTAATATATATTATCAAATATTTTGTACCCTTGTTACCTCTGTTTTTATCTTGATATGGACATATGACAACACAGTTCTACTTAATTGTATTATATATTAGGTGACTTCATATATTAAAATTGTGTGGTTTCTGCTGGGTAATATTATATTGGTACTTTGATATGATGAAACAATGCTTGAATATAAAAAAAGGGCTGTTTATTTGTAGAGTTTGAGGAGTTGGGGCAAATCCAGCCTAAATTTTTTTTGGGCTTCCTTAAGTGTAGGATTTGGATGTATTGACCGAGTTTAGCATTAAATTCTTGATTTGATTCTTTTTGCCCTTCTTTTGAACAGTTTTCTCAAAATTACCTCAGACTAAATATCTTGCCAACGAATAATTTTAGGGATTTAAAGTTCAGGATTTACTAAACCTTTGTTAAATGGGAATTACAAAGTTCAGAATTTGGTGAATCCAATTTGCTATCAAGCAACCCCAAGAATAAAGGAAAAATGAGAATTATTGAAAATTTCTCCCAATTTTTTTTCTTCTATTCTATATCTACTTGAATGATACTTGGCGTTTATACAAGGACTCTGCTATATCTACTCTTCTAAACAGCGCCTTATCCACATTGTCTTGGGCTATGTTTAAAGAAGTTACTAAGGTATTGAGGTTGAAGATTTAAACAGAAAAAAAAAAAATCATAAATAAATAATTAAATAAAATTAAAAGATAATTTGTTAGGAGCGAGGGGAAGCTAAGAGTTCTTGTTGCCCTTTTTTGGCAATGCTTCAAGTGCTTGCTCTTCTTCCAAATGCTTGATTAGCTCCCTATTTTACTGGTAATTTGTTAGGAGTCAGGGGAACAGGAGTCAGGGGAAGCTCAGAGTTCTTGTCGCCCTTTTTTGGCAATGCTTCAAGTTCTTGCTCTTCTTCCAAATGCTTGATTAGCTCCCTTTTTTACTGGTAATTTGTTAGGAGTGAGGGGAAGCTCAGAGTTCTTGTCGCCCTTTTTTGGCAATGCTTCAAGTGCTTGCTCTTCTTCCAAATGCTTGATTAGCTCCCTATTTTACTGGTAATTTGTTAGGAGTGAGGGGAAGCTCAGAGTTCTTGTCGCCCTTTTTTGGCAATGCTTCAAGTGCTTGCTCTTCTTCCAAATGCTTGATTAGCTCCCTATTTTACTGGTAATTTGTTAGGAGTCAGGGGAAGCTAAGAGTTCTTGTCGTCCTTTTTTGGCAATGTTTCAAGTGCTTGCTCTTCTTACAAATGCTTGATTAGATCCCTATTTTACTGGTGTGCTTGTCTTCTTCATATAATACTTTTTTCGATGAGTTTCATGTTATATTTCTCTTCGCCAACTTCAAACTCGTCGCTCCTCACTGACCTTTTGAATTTTCACAAATCTTTACTTTATTGTGAGTTCCTTCTCTCAAATCTCTTTGACAATGCCTCACGCATTTGCTCTTCTTCCAAATGTTTGATTAGCTGCCTATTTTACCAGTGTGCTTGTCTTCTTCATAAAAGGCTTTTGTCGGTGAGTTTCATGCCACTTTTCTCTTCACCACCTTCGAACTCGTTGATCCTCACTCACCTTTTGAATTTTCACAATCTTTAATTTATTGAGAGTTCCTTCTCTCAAATCTTTTTTAATGCCTTTCTCTTCTTCTAATACTTTAGATTTTCCTCTCTTAACTTTTTTAATTTCCACACTTTCTCTTGGTGTTGGCTCTATTCTCGCTCATCTTTTTTTTTGGTTTTAAAGTGGAGATCAATCGTCGCTACCTTAACTACATAAGCTCCTAAAACCCACAATTTCCATCTTGCTTATGATGAAAACTTTAACAAATTGATTTCCTTCTTTGAGGAGATGTGAATCGAGGAGTAAAAGCAAGAGACCTTAAAGTAGTGAGCAATGTGATCGATAAAATATCATTATATGGTACAATGATATAAAATGGCTCTAGACGCCTTAATATAAAATAAATTTTATGAAGGATTATTTATTTTTTATTCTTCATATTTAGAAGCTTATGAAATTATTCCGTTGGGAAGATGATTTTTCTGAAATTTCAAAATTGATTAAATTTCATGATCTTTTACTTTGATGTTGAATGCTTGGAAGTTAACTTTAAGGTGGCTTATAGAATTGGAAATCCTATTTTGGCAAATGACTACCTAAAAATTAGTTTCACATTGGGAAGGGTGTGTGTTCTCATAAAGCTTTAATATTACTTGTGATATTCTATCTTTATGAAGATAGATGTCTTAAGGTTTGAGGAAGCATTGACATATGATTAGATTCCTGATGCATGCTCTGTTTGTAACTCATTTGTTCATGAGATCCACAACTGTACTATAGGGGAAAAATAATTTTCTTGAAAGAATTAGATTATGCCCAAGTCTATATAGGTTTTAATAGTTGTCATATTTAGATCAGAAGAGGAATATATTTTTTAATATCCAGAGAGTTTATTGCTCATAGTTCTTCTATTCCTACTCATACTAAAGTTTATAATTAAACTTCTCACTTCTTTAATCTTAATTTTTATATGGAGACAAATAAAATCGATGGTTCGGGTGAGAATGCAAATTTTATAGCGATGCAAATTTTCGTGGATCTTGATTTAAGAGCACCTAACTATCAAAGCCATCCTCATAAAATTCAAACTCTTACTCCTTCCTATTATAAGGAAATGTCTCTCCATATCCAAAGTCAAAAAAACTTAACAAATAGAAATCAAAGGCTCAATGCTATGCTCGCCATTAGCCTCGCAATGTAGGAGCATTTTGGGAAGAGAAAGAACTCTTGAATGAATACATTTAATTTCTTATAATTTTATTGATATTGTCTATTTTTTTATAATAAACCATTTGCGCAATATTTTTTTATATCACAATCAGAAGAAGAAAAGTATAACAACTTTGAAATTGGTGAGATAATTTTAGTTGAATGAATATCTACGGTTTTAAAGTTTTTTCGAGCCCAAGTTTAACCTCAAGTCATTCATGGTATTATCAAATATCTATCTAATGTTCAATTCCATGTCATCATTATCAAAGCAAGTATAGTTGAGAGAAAAAAAAAAAAAACTCATTGGGAAGCTATTCATTATCTTTCCATTTCTTTTTAGCTTTACTAGGATAGTGCTTAGAGACTTCATTTGTATAAGGTGTTCAGATGACAAGAATGAGGCTTCCCACTTTTCATTCTAAAATTATTGAAATAAACTTGAAGTTGTCTGCCCAATGACTCAAGCTATCATGTTAGAATAGATCAAGGAGTTATTGTAACATTACTCAAAATCAAAGAGTAGAACAAGCAATAATTTTGCAAATGCTTAAAGATAATCCTTAAAATGAAATTTTTTTTCCCCAAGCCGTAATCATTCAGAACAAACATATAAATAAATATTTTGTTAGATCGCTTGCCATGAAGATGATTTAAGTTTTTCATATAAAAAGATGAATTGTAGGTATAAATTTGTTATATCAAGAAGCTTTCTTGTCAAAAAATGGTCTATTATTTCTCTAACTGCTATCATGTCTAAAATTATAAAGAAACTAAATTATAAGTTATTCAACCCAAAAATTTATATCATCCAAGGTTCTTTTTAAAAGGCTTTATATGATTACTGTTGTGATTATTAATACATAATTTGGCACAAAGGAATAATATATTACACAACTTCTAGTTTTGTTGATGGGGAAAATCTAAAAATCTGCATCAAGTAGCTGGTTAAACAAAAAAATATTTAATAATTGCAAAAACTTTGACTTTCGAGGCTTTGATATCAGAATTTTTTTTTAGATTATTTCTGCCTAGTTTCTTGTTGTGTGTGACCTTTAAAATATTCTTTAGGAACACTTTTTTCTTTTAACATGAATTTAAATTGCTCATGAAAAGTAAAAATATAAAAACTCGTATCACTTAAAGCACCAATTAGATAGGAAAAAAGAAAATTGTTCATGAGCTAGGACAGGTTCGTATATAGAAAAATGTTCTTAGTAAAAATAGAGACAACTTTGTAATATCATATAAACACTAAAATAGTTTGTATATAGAAAAATGTTAATTGACTCACTCACTATAAATTGAGTCTTGATGCGGGTAGATTTAGTATGTAAGTTTTGCAAATATTTTTCAATACTACAAAATACATACGACATATATAACAATAAATATGCAATATAATCTCAACAAAAATACATTTTTATGAAAATAGTTTATCTTCAAAACTCTTTTTAAACTGTCAATTTCCCTTTAAAATAATGCAAGTATATGTATCAATCATGTAATAAAGGACTCTAATTGAGTCCTAAGTTATAATGAAGTCATAGATATCGATCTCACAGGGAAGTTGGAAAACCTATAAGTAAATTCTTAAATTACTTTATAATTTAAAAATACAAAAATAAAAGTAAAGTGCAAAGTTTGAATATTAACTACTAAAGTAAATGCTATATAAAATGCAGTTGTAAAATGCAGTTGACTAACTAAAAACTAAACTTTCAAAAATAAAATTATGAAAACTAAACAAAGTTTTTGTTGACGGAAAATTCAAATTTTAGAAAACATCTACTACCTTATGCTAATGTGATATGAAATATTTGAGTGGTGTAAATGAAAATTAAAGTGTAGGTGTTTGATCATCAAAATTTGATATTCATAACTTTTAACATTTAAATGTTATAAAAGTTATGAATGAAAGTGTATTTCAATTTGGGAAAAAAGGGCATATATCTGTTTAATTGGCTTTGTTTTAAGTTTTGATCGGTATTTGATAATATTAGTTAAATTAATTAGTTCATTAATAATATGTAAAATCCTAAATGGAAAATATATTTAATACATTCATGCCACCCAATATAAGAGCATTCCTCTAACAAGTCATTTATTTCATATGTTGACCTATCTAACAAGTTAACTTTTTAAGATATATTAATCAATCCCATAAATTTATCACATAACAATAATTAATTAATTATCTAACACTTACATTTGTTACATATTTAACATTTTGAAGTTTCAATAATTTATTACATAATAAATTTTTCTTATGGAGTTACAAAAATTTCACCGTGACAGTCTTCTTTTAAACAATTTTACCACATAAAGACTCAATGATCATTTTTTCAGGAACAACTGCTCTACAACTGTTTCACACAGCTGCACCAAACATACAGTCAGCTTCCCCGCAACAGCTTCATAGGGCAGCACAGCTGCAGCTGCGCCAAACAGACTCTTAGTGTGCTTAATTGTCTTTTGATTGCCAAAAAATTGCAGTTGTGGAATTTAGTGGTGGAAATGGACTCAATATCATTTTAATGCTTGCTTTCTTCTTGTTGTTTGTACCACTTATCTAACATAGACGCCGCTTAAATCTTATGAATTTACATATCTAACACCAATGCTTTCAATTTTGTGATATAAAGCCACCTTTTATATGCATGAAGTCGTTTATACCACTTTTATGTGATTTGAATGAAATATTTAGGTGTTATAAATATAAAAAAGTAAAACAGTTGATTTATTTGTTAGCAATGTAATGAGTAAGACCAAAGATGTCAGAATTTATTTTCCTGTGACTTGTCGTTTGGGATAGTGTAAATCGTGGCACTCTATCTCAATTACAAAATTAATATTATCATAAATTTAATTGTAATTTTAATGAATTTTTTTATCAATCTTGATACTCAGTGTTAGGTTAGAACTATTTCATTTTTTTTCTTTACTATTATGTATTAATTTTCTGTTTCTACATTATCGAATATATTGTCTGTCAGTTCTGCTACAAACAATATTACTTAACAATGACAGAATGACCATTTATTTATAAACAGTTACAAATCAACTGTTTTGGAAAAACTGTCACAAACAAACAATCAGCTTATCCGAATAAATTGTAGGATAAATTGCTCATCAACAAAGCAGCTGCCCTAAACAGCCCCTTATTCTAATTTTTTTATTTTTTAAAAATGCAAAAATTTAAATTCCATGACATTTTTATGCCTATAAATATGCCTTTACACAAGACGGGCTCCCACCTTCAGTGTCTTTGAAAAATCTCGCGGCTTCTCTTCCCCATCTTCCAACCCTCATCGCCGCTGTTGAAGTGACCGCCAGCAACGACTTATCCATCACCACAGACCGCCGGAAAAGGGTTTGCGTCACCGGAGCCAATGGCTTCATCGGATCGTGGATCGTGAAGCTTCTCCTCGAGCGCGGATACACGGTGCACGGAACAGTTCGGAGTCTAGGTACTGCCCTAATCCTATCACCCTTTTCCTCGATTTTGATTTTGATCAACGCGGATATTGATCGAAAGAGTTTTGATTTATTTGGAGCAGATAAGGCGAAGTGCAAGCATCTGAAGGCGTTGGAAGGGGCATCGGAGCGTCTGGTGCTCTACAAAGCCGATCTGCTTGATCTGAATGCGCTTCGTGAGGCGATTAAGGGACGCGATGGCGTTTTCCACCTTCCTGATGATCCTGTAGTGCATTGCTTTGTTGTGTTCTGTTGAATTTATTGAGGGTCGTTACGTTTGGGTGAGAATGCGTCTGATCTGTGTTTGGGTGTAGGAGCTGATGGTGCAGCCGGCGATTGAAGGGGCGAGAAATGTGATCACTTGCGCGGCAGAAGCTGGAGTGAGGCGAGTGGTGTTCACGTCTTCGGTTGGGGCGATGACGATGGATCCTAAGCGCAGTGAGGATGTGGTCGTTGATGAGTCATGCTGGAGCGACCTGGACTTCTGCAAGAAAACTAAGGTATTGATTATTCCTCTTTTATTTCCTTAATTTGCAAAGCTAGAATTTCGCGGCGAATTCCTATATTTAATTGTTTGTTTATTTCTTATTTTCGTGAGCTTCATCTTATAAGTAAAAGAGTTTTCCATTTCGAAGTAGAAGGGGGATTCAGAAATAGTGATTTATTATATGTTACGAAAGAGAAAGAATGAGATGAGCCACTTAAATCATTATATATATTTCTTGCAGTTTTTGATAAGTAAATTAATTAAATTGGAATTAATACTGATCATCCAATATATGTTGGATTAAGGCCGATAATTTTATTCCCAATTTGAAACTTGCTCGTATTCTATTGAAGCTTGTATGACTCGAAATTAATATTAAGTTGTTTTTGGCTCGAGATTATCTCTCTTGAAGCAACTTTAAAAATATAAATTTAGGGAGTGACCATCAATTTCATCATTATATACACTTATTTATTGGTGGGAATTCATCATCTTGATTAGCTGGGGCGTTATACGTTCAAAAAGTAACTAAATCTCTTCTATTGTACTTCTTTTTTGAAAAACATAAGCGAATTTAATTCACAATTCACAATTCACAAACATGCACATACATCACATAGACGCAAGCCTGAACCAATAGGCTAAACAGCTTGCATTCTCCACAATTTGCAGAACTGGTACTGCTATGGCAAAGCCGTGGTGGAGCAAGCTGCGTGGGAACTAGCCGGGGAGCTTGGGGTGGATCTGGTGGTGGTGAGCCCTGTGCTGACTTTGGGACCCCTGCTTCGGGAAACAGTGAATGCGAGTGTGGCACACGTGCTTAAGTACCTGAACGGCTCCGCTAAGACCTACGCCAACACCGTTCAGGCCCACGTTCACGTCCGCGACGTTGCGGACGCCCACATCCTCGTCTTTGAGGACCCCTGCCGCTACCTCTGTGTTGAGTCCGTCCTCCACTGCGAGGACCTTATTCGCATCCTCGCCAAGCTCTTCCCGCAATACGCGGTCCCTACAAGGCAAGCCATCCAACCCCCACACTCTCCTTGAATGGTCTCTTTATGTGCGAATCGAGGGTATTCAAGAGTGGACAGCCGGGGTCACGCTCTTAAATTCAGAATTTGATACAATTTGGTCTTTTAGCTTTTTTGAAATATTAATTTTGTCACTCCTAAAATATCACTGAATGACAAGCCATCCACCCTCCACGCTCTCCCTGAATGGTATCTTTATGTGCGGATCGAGGGTATTCAAGGGTGGATTTAGCTAGGGTCACCCTCTTAAATTCAAATTTTTTTACAACTTGGTCTTTTAGCTTTTTTGAAATATTAATTTTGCCACTCCTGAAATATCACTTTGCCCTTCTTTATTTTTGGTTCTCCCACGTTGGCATCTTCCAAAACTTGGTACTTAAGCATTGAAAGTCCTCCGCCTTTTCAATGTTAATCATGTGTGCAATGTTAATCATGTAGTCGGCAATGAAAACTCATCGTTTGGGCATGCTTTGTTCAAGTCTTTGAAATCGACACCTTTGCTGTCCATTCTTCTTTCTGACTGACACTACGTTGGCTAATCATATTGAATATTGTTCTTCTCTTACAAATTTAGTGTCTATTAAATTTTTTGACCTCAGTGGTAACTCCTCGTCACTTAATAAGGAACTAATAAAAATGGATCTAGGGTCATATTCATTCCCTAAATTGATTTCCTTTAACTAATCGACTGTTGATTTGATTTTTTTTTCAAATTCTGGTGCAGTGTCTTCTACAGAAGATTCTTCGAAGTCAACTTCTACTTCAAGACAGTCTTACTTTGATTTATTAGTGACAACCAAGCAAAATTTTGTGTCATCGACCAGGCCTATCATGCCGAACCCAATGCCTTCATTTGAGATGAAAGTTTGATTTTTGTTGTTTCATAATTCTTTAAAAAGATGCAACCTGCCTTTTGAAAATTGTTTAGTCACAAAACCTTGTTAAACACGTTTCTAAACACACAGGGAGTACCATCCAATAAGCAATTTCATTAATTCGGTAGAAGTGTCTTCTTCTAGTTTTACAAAGACCTCGGAACTAGAAGAAGAGGAACCATGATAAAATTTTATCGGTTCCATGCTTACACATTGTACTTCCTTGACTTCCAAACCCTAGACTTTATGAGGGTCAATCAGAGTTAGGGTCAGGTGAAGGATGTTTGGAGCGAGAATGAGTGAAACTTATCCCTGCTTGATGCTATGGTGAGTAGGGAGGATGCTGTGCATATGCTAAAATTCCTATAACCATTTTTTATATGTAATGACATTTTGTATAAAATTTTAATTTGTGATTTTTATTCATCAAACCATATCTTCTCTACCATTTTTAATGAGTTATTATATATGGAGTAGCTTAAACATGATGAAATTGTGTTTTTCTCGAATCACTTTTGACTAGTATAGAGTAAATAAGTCACCAACAATTTTTAGTTGTATGCTAATAGATAAACTCTTAGACACTCTTAAAAAAGTATAAAACAATTATTTTAAATAACCATCTGATTAGATGGATTAGTAAAGTAATATTTCCATAAAATTTATTTGAACTAAATGGGGTTACTTTTTCTTTTAGGGTATCATTACTCTTTTCTTTCCTGCTTTCCTGCTTTCCTGCTTTCCTGCTAAATTAGGGTTTGTTTGGAGCAACCGCAACTTGTCCAATTTAACCTGATAAGCTGCTGGTCAGCAATTGATCTTGATGAGCTAGCTGACTGTTTGAGGCAGCTGTTTGAAAATAGCTGATTTGCAGCTGTTTCTGGATAAATGATCATTCTACTCCTATTAGGTAATGTTGTTTGCAACCGAAATGTCTTAACAATATATTTAATACTAGAGATGTAGAAAACTCATACAGAACAGTAAAAAAAAAGGAGCTTTCACTTAATATTGAGTATCAAGATTGATAAAATAAAATGAAAACAATTATTAAAATGACAAATAAAATTATAATAATAAGGGCAAGCAGGGTTAATTTTTCGACATGTATTCTGCCCAGGGATGTCGAATCCAATTCAATGTGGTTTGATCATACATTATACATTAATAATGCTAATGGTTAAATAAAAAATAAACCAAAAAAATTTTTCTTAAAAAATAAATTACATACATAATACATAGTTCTATTATATTTATATATTTCACATCTAAACTCTCATATCTATATATAGTACCCAAATTCTTATATAACATACATAAACAATAATATTATTATTATTTTTTTAAAATGAAATCTCTTTTCACTTATAAAAGTAAAGTATCAAATATTATGAATGTAAATAAAAAAATTTGAGTGTAAGATATACAATACATAAGAATTGGAAAACCAACTTCCTTTCCCTTACCCACATTATAACTTCACTACAATCAACCAGTTCACACTCCACTGATGCCATGTCTCCAATCATAGAATACCTCGTTCTCTTCAAAGTTTGCAACTCCACCTGCCCATCATAGATTGACGCCATGGTCTCCTCCCAACGTTGCCTCTCCATCTTCGACTTCGTCCACCACTTAGCCGTTGACCCCATCCACGACCGTCGCTCCTCTACAGTTGATTTCACCCATCACCTCCACAATTGCTTCCGCTCTAAACCCCTTGTTGTGGTATATAAAAATAAAATAGGAGAATGATCGACGATGAAGCGAAAAAAAACACGAGAAAATTCACACCAGAAAATAGTAACACAGCGGAACACACAAATTTACGTAGTTCGGCAAATTGCCTACATCCATGGAGTTGTAGAAGATTTTATTACATGAGAAATTTACATTAGTCGATTGTCTTGATTTACAAGAGGAATCTCCATTTCATTGCTCTCTCTTATTCTCTCTATAAATCGAGATACACTGAAAAAACTTTACACCGAGATACACTGAAAAAACTTTACACCGAGATACACTGAAGAAGAGAAACTTACAAGAGAAATAAACTCAATTTTTCTTCTGCCACAAGTCACTAAGAAGAAGCCAAGAGAGAAAAATTTTCTTTTTCTTATTTCTTCTTCCTTCTGCCGCAAGAAATTATTGCTTGCACTTCTTTTCTCTTATCCCGATGAAGCCCGAAGAAGAACAAAAAATCTTGACTTAGAAACCAAACGAGAGCCGCTGCGATGCCTTTTATCACGAATATGAAGCAGAAACGTCGCGACCCTTTGCGACAAAGGAGCAGTTTGCGAACAACAGGGTTGCGACCTTTCGCGAACAGAAGAGGGAGTACGCGCGAAAAAACGGGAGCGGGAGTTTTTGATTGTGTGCGGGAATGAGCGGACTGAACCAGACTCCATCCTTAACAAATCTCCCACTTGGAGACCGGGTACACAAACATCAACATCTCCTTTCTCAAACTGATATCCTCTACTAGCGGCGTCACATTTTTCTTCAAACATGTATCTTCCACCTCTCCAACTCAAAACTTCTGTATTCACTCCAGAAGAACTACTGAAACTATGAACATTTTTCAGTTTCTCAAGAGTAACAAATCTTTCACTTGAAGACTGGTACATAGGCAACAATATCTCCTTCCTCAAACTGATATCCTCTACTAGCAACATCACATTTTTCTTCAAACATATATCCTCCACCTCTGCAACTCAAATCATCTCTCTTCACTCCAAAAGACAAACCGAAGTTGTGTGCAACTTCAGTTTCTCAAGAGTAACACCCTTAGTCAACATATCAGCAGGGTCCACATAGCCTTGCACCTCCAAGCTATTTCATAGGTTACTCTTGCCGCTGCTGAAAGTCTTTTTCACCAAGTCTAGTCTTTTACCTCTTACTGTCATCACGCTCAGTCTTCACCCAAAACTGTCGGTCGTCATACGGCTGGGTGCGATTTAATTTAGTGTAATACAGTATTTAGAAATTATGTATTTTAATTTAAAGAAAATGGGGTCAAACTTATCCCATTGATTCCTACAATTTACCACTTGATAATAAGCTCAATTAAATAAACTATAGAAATAAATGACTTCCGTTTGATCTCTAAGTTTGCATGTTGACCGACATATTTCTTTATTCGATATGAGAGTCAAATATGATTTATTTTAAATTTGGGTTTTTTTTAAGTTCACTGTAAGGGCAAACCCCTATAGTTAATTATATCTTAAGCGAATGAATCACTTAAGAAAACTCTCGATAAATCACTTAAGAAAACTCTCGTTAAGAAAACTCTCGATAAAAATCAAGAATTTTTTGTTTTCATGAATTCGTAAGAAAGAGTTTTCAACGAACATGATTGTGAAATTTTCAATAAGGATTGGTTCAAAGATGAAGATTTTGTTTTAAAAATCAAAAGAAGAAAAACATGGAAGATTAAAGGTCCAGAATAGGTACTTAGTAATCTCCCAAACTATCCCAATGTTTGACTCAATTTAGGATGATATTAATTTAAGTTAAGTCTTGCCAATTTTATTAATTAAAGCTTAAATTTGTGTAATGATGATTTACACAAAAATCTAGAAAGATATGAGGTTTTACGTCGAGTGATTACCTCAGAATCCTAAAACAAGTTAGGACATGATGCATATCAGGACTATGCAGGAGCCTAACAAAAAGAGAAATTTTAAATCATAAAAAGCAGCCTCAGAATCCTAAAGATTGTTATTTAAACTAAAGAAATGTCTTGAACGAGCTGCCCACGAAATCTACCGAGCTGCCCATGTTGAAGTGTCTTCAAGTCTTCAGGTCCTCCGATCTTATTATTAAAATTTTTATATGTTTTGATAATTTTATATTAAAAATCTTATTATTAAAATTTTTATATGTTTTGATAATTTTATAGTGAATTAATTAAAGGGTAGTAAATGTATAATTCAAACCTAGGCCAATGCTAAGTTCACTTAAATTAAGTCTCTAATGTTATGATTTTTAGGTTCTCCCTAATCTAAATAACTTTTATTCCTTTATTATTTGTCCTTAACACATGTTTTTCATGTTTGATAAAAGCAATAAAAACATACATTGAGATACATAAAACAATATATAGAGCAAATATATTGTTTAACATCAACAAAATGCATCGTTCAATAAATCTTCGTAAACTAGAATAAAATCGGGGTTTAAGTTGAGTTATGTGATATTTGTGATTAATAATTGAATAATCCTTGAGTCACTTTATCGATTTTAGGGCTGAAATATTTTAAGTTGTTTATATATTATTGTCGGAGTTTAAGTATTTTATTTTAGTTATTTTTGTTAACGTATTATTTATGTGAAGTTGACGACTTAAAAACTGACTTAACCTACAAAACCATGCTTTAAAGTCTTGTTGTGCTTGGTTTGGTTTCAGTTTAAATTTTAATATTTTTATGTAAGTTTTACCCATCCCAATATGTTTTATTTTATTTCTTAATTGATGTTCAAGTTGAGGGATTTAGGTTTAACTTTTTAACTTAGGTTTAAGGTTATACCTAAAAGGTTCTTCTATGTTTAACCTATGAGTTAAGTTCTAACCTAAGGTTTAGAGTATGTTTAGTTTAAAGCTAAGCTATGATTAAGGTTTGTTTTACTAAAGATTAGGGTTGGATTAAAGTTAGCTAACCTAAAGTTTAGGTTAACAAATCCTATTGATTTAAGCTTAAATAACCTAAAATTTAGGTTAATTGATCATGTTGGTTTAGGGATAACTATCATAAGGTTTATGTTAATTAATCCTATTGATTTAGGGTTAACTAACCTAAGGTTTAGGCTTTAGAGTTAACTAACCTAAGGTTTATGTTAACTAATCATGTTAGTTTACGGTTAACTAACCTAAAGTTTAGATTAACTAACATAAGATTTAGGTTAACTAATCCTATTGGTTTAGGGTTAACTAACCTAAGGTTTATACTTGTCTAATCCTATGAATTAGAGTTAACTAACCTAAAATTTAGGTTAACTAATCATGTTAATTTATGGTTAACTAACATAAGGTTTAAGTTAATTAAATATATTTGTTTAGGATTAACTAACCTAGGATTTAGGTTAACTAATTCTATTAGTTTAAGGTTAACTAACCTAAGGTCAATCCTATTGGTTTAAGGTTAACTAAACTAAGGCTTATGTTAAATAATCCTATTGGTTTAGGGTTAAGTAATCTTAACTAATCTAAGATTTAGGTTAACTAATTTTATTGGTTTAAGGTAACTAACCTATGGCTTAGATTAACTAATCCTATCAATTTAGGGTTAACTAACCTAGGTTTAGGTTAACTAATTCTAGTATTTAGACTGGCTAATTTTAGTGGTCAGGATCACTAATACTAATGGTCTAGGTTAAGTCTAACCTAAGATTAAGGTTTAGTTTATGATGAACCTAATGTGTAGGATAAACTAAATTAAAGTTCTTGTTGACTAACC